AGCCAGCAAACACTGCAAAGGAGTATTACTGGGGGGAGGAGGCAGTAGAAATTCCATTTTTGTACATGAAGATCCTTTAGTCTTCCTCCTCAGGTAAAGATGTTACTATAGCATACTCAATATGTCTTATACAAGAGACTGTTTGAAATATTCAGTATCCTAACTGACAGAGTTGGTGATTGGTGATAAAAAACCCGTCAAAAGCCATTTTTTAAAATTTATCAGGTCAACTTAACACTTTTACACATATTCCAGTCATTTCCTTTAATATAGAAAATACTACTAAAGGATTGAAAATAATTAAAAATAAAAAACAATTGTCTTTACATATGAGAACACAATTCAAGTGCTTGAAAACAAATCACAATGAAATAGTACAGCCTTGTCCATTAACCAGACAGTCAGGGAGACCTTATATTATCCAGCACTAGCTCCTGTACAATACTCAGACTGCTAGACAGCTTAATTGTTGAGTATTAGATTTAATTCTCTAATGCATATTTAAAGTGTAACAGGCATCTTCCCCCTTCCTAAAAAAAAAGAACTGCAATAAAAAAATAGTGATAGTAGTGAATCATGGTGTTTAGTATTAGCAAAATATTAAAGTTGTATGCACTATTCATCAAGTTGAAATTAATGCCTCGCTGAAGCACAAATATTTATCCAGTACAAACAGCAGGAAACCTTAGGAGACAGCACAGCTTTAAGCACTGAAGTGAGCTAATTAGTACCCAGTGCCGCTTCAGAGCATGCTATGCTATTTTTAAATAAAGGTTAGCTTCCAGATAGAAGAAAGTAACAAAATGTAAAGGTAAGAGATAAGGTATCCTAAGAAAGCTGTCTTTAGTAGCTATCAAAGTGTCCTAAACATACAGCTTTCTCACAAAGTTTAGAATGAGAGCTCTTATGCCAATCAGGATGGAATACAGCAATACTTAGCAACTTCTGCATCAGTAATAGGCAGGTTTTACTAGTATTGCTTTTACCTAAATTTCTTTGCTATGCTTTGATTGCTACATAGCATTTCATATCCTCAGAAGTTAGAGATGGAAGAACACAAACATATATCTGTTTTGAAAAGATAACCCATTTCCAAGTCTTCCTCTCAACAATCAGATGATTCTTCAGCAATGTTCACCATTTCAAATAAATTTAAGAACAACTTTCATGCACTCCCTCACTTTTCATGGCATTCTCCACAGATAAAAGTGATGATAATTAAGTATCTGTCCAAATTCCATATGCTTTATTGATTCCAGATCTAATAAATAAGGCTCCTAGTAACAACTGTTTATTGAACCCCCTTGTATTACATTTGTACACCATATACATATATACATATATACACCATATAGAAGTCACAAGCCTTATAAACAGAACCCTTAATTCATCACACAACTACACCAACATCTTCCCGTTTCTGGCGCTGCAAGAAAAAACAGGGTCACTTTCAGAAAATTTCAGTACTAATTTGGCTGTAAGTTATGTTATGCTGCTCTCATTATCTTTCCAGTTGTTACCAAAGCATGTAAGTTCATGTGGGGATGCGACTAAAGAAATTGCCATAAATAACAGTCGCCCTCATAGACTCAGCCAACATTCTATTTTTAGTCTGCTCCTCTTGAACGTGGCCCTGATTAGGGCAAAGGCTTCACAACAGTTTCACCAGAAGTACAAGTAAACACTTCATATTCAGCATTAGTTTAGAAATGCTATCAATTGAAAATCAGTACAGTTGTTAGATCTTTCAGATGATGTTTTTGGTGTTTTGGGGGGGGAGGCGGGGATGTTATGTTTATATCCAATCCAGGATTATTTGAGTTTTTATGCTAGCAAAGTTCCAGCACAAGTTCTGAGAGAAATCTGATGATTTTCAGTAAAAACAAATGCAGCAGCATTTCACCCCTTGGCCTTGCGGAAAACTTTTTAAATTTCACCAGTGCTTTCAAATAACTTTAAATATTTCAAGTGTCAGTTATTTATAAAGAAAATCTCAAGGGCATGCAGAAGTAATTCATCTTAAAAGTGCATGCATACACTTACACGTTATGGAGCATAGGGAAGAGTCTGGCCATCACAGGAACTAATAAAACCTTTTAATGGCATGCAGAGTTTGAGCAGCCCAGAAGCTTTAAACACAGCCTTGCAGAAATATGCAGTTGCTACACATTAAAAACATTTTTATACTTTAGTACTTCTTGTCTTCAACAACACTGATCTGACACAGATTTCAGTCCTTATTCTGACACCATTTTGGTTTTGCCTTCCAAGATTATCTCAAGAAGCATTTCAAATAAATTAATCCAATTTAAGTTCCTAAATAACTGTTGTTAATAAAAAAATGCTTTAATTCCAACCCATTCTTCACTCCCAAATGTGCATTTAATACACCACCATTTCAATTCTGGCAGCTGAGGACACCGAACTGCCAAGAGGGCTATTTTTCCTGGAACAGAAAACACAGATTTAAAGAAAAGATCTCAAGCTTACAATTCTAATTTAAGTGATTTTTTATATATATATACTTGCATAATTAAACAGAACAGTATTAACAAATCAAAAGCTGTAATTTTGTTGAGCAGGAAAACTACGAGATTCCAGTAAACCAACAAACTCAAGTACTTCCTACCAAGTACAAATCAACATACTGAAAGACACTGCATATAAAATCCGGGTTTTAAACACACTGTATTTTCATAATCCTTTGGAAGTTTCAGAGATTACACAGTCACTCCAGTCAAGCTTTTTCACTTCAGAAGATAACCACAGATTGACAGTTTTCAGTTTTTCTAGAGTGTAAGAGATTTGGACCCTAGTTCTCCTAACTTCACAGAAGACAGAGTATACACACAGTCATGGTCACACTGTCAGGCCTCTTATCTCCCATACAGCATGATGGGATCTCCTGTTTAAACTTCATGCGTATTGCTCCTGGAAGACTGACTGCTTGGTAACTGGTAACACTGGAAGTAACACACGGGTGCAGTGATTCACAGGTGTAACCTCCATTTCTGCTAACAAAACCACTCACACAAATCCTATGGCAGACTGAAGTATAAGCTTTGTACCCAACCTTCCACTCGCAAGAGAGGAAGCGTGCCAGGTTACACAGAGAGCGCATTTGTCAAAGGGAAGGGCTGGGAATGAAACCTGACCTGGTGATTCACCTAACGGATTTAAGTCTAAGCTCTTCCTGATAGAGGCTTTGTATGTTTGCTGAGTGCCCAGGTGATCTTTGTTAAGAGCCCAAATGCTACTGCATTTTAATATTTTCATCAATGTAAACACTTAAGCCTCATGAAAATGTCATCTGAAAACCTCAAATACTCCACAAGTTCTTAGTCCCTAAAGAAATCCTATGAATTGTGACTTTTGTCTAACAAATCATGCAGGTTTCTCAAATTATGCATTTTCCATACAACCTGGGAAAAAACCCAGTGTCATACTGGGCCATGAAATGTCTGTTTATTTTTTAATTAAAATAGCCAGACATTAGCCAACATTCAATAACTAATAATTTAAGTTTCCAGAATGAACAAGGTGATTCTCACACTGGATGCGTTAAAGTCAGTGACAGGTTAAGAGACAACCTAATATTTATCTTAAGGTAGAATTTAATGAAAATTGATTTCCTGACATGAACATGAGAAAGGTTCAAGATATCTGGGTTTTACAGGAACACGTACTAAGAATGAGACCAACTCAGTGACTTGGCCCAGTCATAAAATATACATCAGCCAACAGGCTCTTCTCCCAGCTTAGACCCAGCCCCATTGTGCTAAGTACAATACAGATGACATATACCATTTGTAGTGCCCAGCCTTACAATATCTCACGCACATGCTTGTCTGTGATACAAGTCCTTGCAAAATTAGAATCCAAGTGACTTAACTATTCAGCTATGCCTGAGAACATGTCTACCATGGACTATTTCAAGTGAAAGCAAACCCGCCCATTCAGGAGACTACAGCAAAATTTCAACATGATTCTGTCCCTGAAAACCTTGTTCCTCAGAAGAAGCTTTCTGATTAAATTTAACATGTACCTTTAAAACAGCTCAACGCTGAAAGGAAGTGAATTGCTATAGTTCATAAATCATCCTAAGTAGGACTGAACTTCCTCAAAATTGTCATCTCTGTGATAAAAGGCATGTTAGAGGTGCCTTGTCTCACAAAGAGATTATCACAGAAGAGAAGCAGCTGAGTTTTGCACTTCAAAAGTAGTATTTTCGTATTGTTTTCTTACTCTGGAGGAAAACATACGTCCAAGAACATTGCCAGAAGGATCTGCAACTCAACTTCAAAGTACATTACTTTTACCAAAAGTATTTCACTGATGAGAATAAAATAGATTGGAGGTTAATTTGACCACATTATATAATACTACTTACTTTTTGTAACATAAAATAACTTGTTGGAAGGTGGAGAGAACAAAAGCAAAACACTGCGGGGGGAGAACTATATGATCTTTAAGGTCCCTTCCAATCCAAACCTTTCTATGATTTTGGGGAAAGCCCAAACTTCTGAAAAGACGCAGTAGCATATAAGTACATTACTGGAGGGAAAAACTTCAGAAAAGGCTTTCAGATGCCATGACATGCAGTCATCAATGTCACTCTACACTTTGCTCCATAAAACTGCTTTTTGCTTCTTTGCAGTGTCATTCACTCAAGCTGCCTTCAAAAAAAAGTCACCAAATCTGAATTTGCAGCTAACAAACCCAACAGCCAACAAACCAACATCACTTAATAGAAAATTCCATATTTTGTTCTTCTGCAGTCACTTCCTCACTCACTGGCAGCGTATGTTAAAAATTCTGAGAAATATTCAGCAAGACTTCATAATCCTCGGGAACACACACCTCTTCCCTGCGAGCATAAGACTCAGGAGCTTTTTCGGCACAGAGCTGGAATTCAATTGGACGGAAAACAAACGTGATGGCTGTCGGTATTACAGGGAACGAGCCAAATCCACGGGCTTTACCTTTGCTTTCACCGTTACCTTTACAACACAAAGCACATAGGAGGTTACTCCCATTTAACGTGCTCGAAGTTAAATCACGAAGCCCACGCAGACACAAGCCCTGCAGCCTGCGGCGCTTCCTACCCGGGCACCGCGAACTCTCAGCGGTTGTAACTGTTGCTGCCACCTCTCGCATCCGCACCGCCGGCACCGAACTCGACGCGGCGGCGAAGCCAAACACACAGACAAGACAGGCTAGAACTAAGATATTTCACAGCACGCCATCGAACTCTGCCCTAACCCTTCCGATGAAGGTTCACGCGCGCGCCGGGAAGCGCCAGGCACGGCGCTGCCCGCCCTGCTCCGGGGACACGACGGGAGCAGCTCCTTTGTCTCGCCCGCAGCCCCGGCCGCCTTCTCCAGGCGGCACAAGGCGCCGCTGCCCCGCCGGTCCCGAGCGGCCCCGGCGCTGCCGCCGCTTCCCGGCGCTGCCCTTCCCGAGCGGGACCGGGCGCTGGCGGGGCGCTGGCGGCCACCGCGGCCGGGATGCCGGGGGTGCCCCGGGGGAACCCGCGGGAAGGACGAAGGCTGCAGCCGGTGCCCGGAGCGCCGCCCCGCGGCCCCTCACCGGGGGCAGGGACCCCGCCCTGCCCCTCCATCGCCCCTGGGCACCGGCCCTGCCCCCGGGAACTACACCGCCCTCTTCCTCCCTCCCTCCCTCCCTTCTCCACCCGCACCCTCCTGCTCCCTTCGCCCACTGCCGCCCCGGCGGGTCCCGGCCGCCCCAGCCGCGCGCCGCCGGCTGCCCCGGGGCGAGGCGCGGGACCCGGAGCCAGAGGGGATCCGCTCAGCCGGCCGCGAGTTGCCCGACAGCCGCAGCCATCCCGCCGGGATGCGATAGCCCCGGGCGGCAAAAAAGTTGTGCCCGCGGGAGCGGCCGCGAACCGAACTCACCCTCCCACCCGGCGGCTCCGCCGCGGCTGCGAGTCAAACTCCCCTCCCGCCGGGAGCGGAGCGCGGGCGGACCCCGCCCGGCCCCGCCGCTGCCTGGCGGCGCCCGCAGCCAACCAGCGCGCGCGGCGCGGTCACGCCAGCCAATGGCGCGGCGGAGCGGGCCGGGCGGGCGCCCCGCTCCCCCAATGGGCGGTGAGGGCGCCGGGCCGGGGGGAGCGCGGAGAGGGGGGTGGGCGCTGCCGCCGCAGCCGCCGCTGTGTGGGGGCGCCCCGGGGGCGGGCACGGAAACGAGGGGCCGAGTCATCGCTTCTCAGCCGGGGCTGCATCGGGAACGTGGCTCTGGGGAGAGCTCAGGCGCAGCCCGGGGCGCTGGGCAGGGTCGTGCCCCGCGGGGAGATGCGCCCTCCGGGCCAGCGGGGAGCGCCTGCTCGCGAAACTGCCCCTCGAGCGCCCGTGGCAGTGGCCGCTCGGGACAACAGACGGGCGGCAGCGCTTGGGCTGGGCTGCAGGGAGCCGGCACCAGAGGCGTGTGCTCTACCGCTGTCCCATATCACTCGCTCAGTCCCGCTGCCATCGCTTGGACATAAAAAAAGAGTCGGCGGCAGAGGCAGAGTCGAGCCTGTGCTGCCCTAGCCCCAGCAGAGGTACGGCTGAAGATCTGCAAGGAATGTTTCCAGGCACCCTGATGGGAACGCCTCGAACTGAATGCCTCTGAAGTTTCATCAGGCATGTCTTAATCATTATTTAGATGCTGGATTCTTATCGGCCTTCTCAAAGTGAAGCAATTGTGAGCAAGTCTAATTCCACAGCACTCCAAGGCCTTTTCAAGTACTTTTTTTTTTTCTTTTTTTTTTTTCTATTGACTTCATCCTTGGAATGCTCTGAAGAATGATCTTGAAATAAATCTGCATACAGCACAATTAGCTGCTTTTGGTTTTTAAAGTTCAGTTTACATTTTGTTGTTACCAATAGAGTTGCTTTGCAAGCATGCTTTCAGGATGTTTTAATCCTCAGAAGCACATGCTTATAGTAATCTTCAGGATTAATAAAGATTAAATTAATCACTAATCTAATTGCTCTGTGGTGAAACCAAGGCAAGGAGAGTGTGATTTGGTCAGTACCAAATATGATAATGATAGAGCCCAGATTAACACCACCAACATTTACTGTCACAAAGTGTTTCCCATACAGTTACTCATTTAAAAATCATAGTCTTCTATGCCACACCAGTCTTCATTTCCTCAATGACTGTACAGGTAGATAACATGTTCACGTACAAGTTTATTGACTTCCCTGGAGCCTTGAACCTGAGAAAGTATCAGGTTCCATGCATTTCTTCAAGTTTTCTTGGCCATCCTGCATAGAGACATGAGTATCTTTCTATCTGAGCTGTTTCTAGACTTGTGCTATTTTACCATTCACTTCCCTATGTATATAGTATATCAATTTATTCACAATAAAATATATGCACTATTTTCAAGGATCTTTTATAATACAAACTATAATAAATATTGCTTTTAGAATATAAATGTCTTACTAAGCCATTTGTCTTTATAATACTCCCACTGTGTTATGGTCTAAACTCATTCTGCCATCAGTTTCTATGACACTGGATAAAATAGGTCTGTTTTCCTGAAAAGATGGATATTAGTTCCAACAAAGATGTAAAAAAGCTTTATTATTTCACTAAGATGAAGAGAGACAGTTAAGTGCCATAATCTTAGGAACAACCAAATGTAGCTTTTTGAGGGAGATAATAACCTTCTACCTTCGAAAGAATACACATCTGAATCAGAGCCAGAATATTTAATGGTTTGGGGCTTTTTTTAAAGTTCTTTATCTGACTTTCTCTGCCACTATTTCTGCCAACAACATTGCAGGCATACACAGCTTCCATCACAATGCCTTTCCCACCTGCTGCCTGTACATATTCCTGAGACCCTTCTGGTTTTTGTGACCCAACAGTTACACAAAACACCATATAATTCAGTCTGAAGAGAACCAAGTAGAAGAGAGGGGTTTTTTAACACTCTTCTGTTCCCTGAGCTGGTTTACTGCTCAGTCCTGCAGGTCTGAGAGCAGCATGGACCAAAGAACAAGCAATGGAAGCAAAGATATGGCAATGCAAGAAGACTTTATTAGCCTGCATTCTCAGACCCAGTGTCAGTAGGGACGCTGGGTACTGATGTGGCTTGTGACATACTAAGTGACCCTGATAATTGCAATGAGGTACTGAGATCATACTGTCATTAGTTATTAATTTGTTGTTGTTAATGTGTTATGACTCTAATGATTAGCAAAAGTAATGAATCATCCACAAACAAAAGGCAGGCAAATTCTTCACATGCAGCAGATAACTGTTCTTCAATGTCACATCACATTAACAAAAGAAAATAGTTAAGTTTATATTACTTCCACAGATCATATTTTTTTAACTCCTGAATTATTTTAGTGTTTCAGGCACTCTTATCACATTAGCCTTATATCTTCTAAATGCAAGAAGATGTATGCAATACATTTTCTTTTTAATGTGTTTATATTTCTATGCAGAGTTGGGCACAGTGCTTACTGCACTTTAGTCTTGTGTTTATGGGAGGTTTTTTTTGCCATTAGCAATCCATTTCAAAATGCCCTCTCAGAGGAGGGCTACAAAGAATCAGAACTTTTGTTCCACTTCCCCAGTACTCAGGACTGCTCAGTGCTGTTTCACAAACAGTATTTCCAGGGAGAAGTTCCCTTTGTATTTCATAAAACATTGCTCAGAAACATAATTTGGAACCCAGAGCTTCTGCCACCTTCATAATTTTTGGTCTCCACCTTTTCATTACAAGTTCTTATATTTAGATATATAATGCAGTTGTAAGCTTCTTTAAAAATAGAAATCCTTGATAAATAAATACTTAACAACCTTAATCTCTGTCATATGACCATGTTCTTAAAGCTCAATTCAACACACAGACCATTTTTAAAAGATAGTACATCTGGACTGTGGGAAAAAAATAGCAGTTATTTCCAGTCATCTGATCTCATACCAAATCTGTAGCCTGTGAGACACCAAGAAGGGCACCATTTAGGGAAAGAGACAGAACTCTAGAAGACAATTTGTTAGTCTTCTGTCCCACTGCCAGCCTAGGCCAGGCTGGCTGTGGCCGCAGCAACTGCACATGCTGCTAGACGGACGGTAGGGCCATCGTGGAGCAGCCCTTCTGTTTTCATTAGGATGGAAAACCCCTCGCAGCAGAATTAAGAGTAGTCTGTAGTCTTGATTAGAAATTCAGCTAACATTTCCAAAGACGCTCAGAACTCACACTGCTCTCCTACAGAGCCTTTGATTAACTCCACTAATTGAAACTACGAGGAAGCATCGAGTCGTCCTTCAAGTCAGCAGAGGTCCAAGAGCTTTGTATCAAATGCAGAGGGCTCTGGAGACTCTTGGTCTGACATTCTCCATGAAAACAGTTTCAGCAATGAAAGCGTATAAAAAGTCAGGGAGGAAAAAGTAAGACAATCATGCTGACGTAGGAAGAAAAACAGATATTCTGAAATTTCCTTTCCAATGGAAATAAAATGACAGCACTTTCTGCAAAAACACAAATTCTGCAATTCTTATTTTTGGACCTCTGAAATAACTGACAAATATGATATTTTGACAGTGTCAGATGTTCTGTTTTGACTTATGGTTTTCCTCTTTATATTCTAGTTTCAGCCATAAATAAAATATTTTGATAGCTTTCCCTTGAAAAAGTAAAAGAAACCAGTATCTTCCTACTAAAAGTTACATTTTATCAAATCCATGTTTTGACAGAAAATTTCTCTAGCAGAAAGCTCTTTACCAGATCTTTCCGGAAAGTGAAAAATCACTAACATCTGTTTGACTCTGAAACACTGAAGAACTCACTGTCTCAGATTTCTCATGTTTTCACAAAACATTTTAAAGGAAACTGCTCAAGAAGGAAGGACTCTATAAGCATTTTGTTGCTCAATTGATTGAATAAAGTCCTCTTACTAGAACTTCAGATTAAAAAAAAAAACATACATTAGCATAGAAATATAAAAAAGTATCCTTTACTTCATAATTTACAATAAGTTTTATTTATTCTAAATAAATATAGCTTTTATCTTACGCTTTTTACTGATCTGGAGTTCTCCTGGCAACCTGGAGTTCTCCTTACTTCGTTTTTCTTGGCAAAGCGTGT